TACTTACCCTTCATTGGAACGGTCCTTCCCATTCGCCAGTATGGGTGTACTATCTGTGCCTGTGCCATTGTAATTGGAATTTCGCTCTCAAAATTCAAGCACTCGTTGGTCAGCGCTGTCATCTGACGGCACTGACCTTCGAGAAGCTCTTCTTGGCATTGCTAAATACGGTTATGGTTAAATTTTTTTTTTTTTCTTTTTTTGTATCAGGACAAGTAGATTTTCATGAGGGACAAGTAGATCAGCTTTAGTCCTTGGACAAGTAGTTTTTAAAAAAAATTTCCACACCCCTGATGTGTAAATGTCAGTCCATTCGCTTTCATTTTTTTTTCTTTCTTGCTGCAAGCAGAGCCATCACATTTAACTCATGAAATTCGGAAGGCAGTCTTGAGCGAGTTTCTAGAAGATTCTCCGTGGTACCCAGCTTTTAGAAGTCATCACCTCTTATTTGCATGTTCTTTGAACCAGTTTACTTCCTGCTATCTTTAAATGCCAGAGGGACCCTTTCTGAAAGGACCAATGCTTGGTTGCCAGGATACCGCATTGTTATGGATTTCACCTAATGAATGATAATGAGGTGTGTTTAGAATCTACATGGACAAAAATAACAAACAAAGAGAAGTAGTAGCCGAGTGGATGTATTCGAGAGAATGATTTGTGAGTTGTAAACAGCGCGCTCCGGGATGGCTAGAATCCCTAATTTGCTTTGTATTGTGAATGGTGTTTTTCCACAGTGACAGGAGAATGTATTGCCGAGTTTAGTCAGCTGAAATGGCTCCTAGTATTTCCTTCAGAATAAACCCTACTGTGTGCTGCTCGCATTTGCCAGGGATTGTGTGCTGCTTCCAGTAGCTGAGAGGGTAGATGTGATTATAATAGATTGTCCTCTTCCTCGCTGAGGTTTACAGTCTTAGCATTTCAAATATTATTTTCTGGAATGTTTTTATTCTGTAGTAAAATTCAGGTGAATTGTATCCTGTTGCAGGAGTGAAAATTTCAGCATGATGTGACTGGTATTGGCTGGCAGAGAATATCATTGTTTGCATTCCATTTATAAGCTGAAAATAGGCCATACACCTGTAGAGTTTTTTCTAAAACTCGTATTTTCGGATTGTTTGTTTTGTAATGGGTACATATCAAATACAAACAGTTGTTTTTGATATTGAGCCAAACATTTGGATTAAACATTTTTCGCCAATACATTTTCTGAATGTGGTTTTCTGCCAGGAAGAATCCTTGTTCTAGAAATGCACATGTGCTTGGAAAATTAACATTACGTTGGTTCTCTTCATCCTGATATTGTACTTTAGAATTCAATGCATTGGCATGGCAATCCAGCAAAATAACATATTAAATTTGTCAAGTCCATGCTGGAACCATTCAATGTTCTGACGATTTTGCTACTTTTTTGTAGAAATTCTACAGGTGTATGGCCAGCTTTCAGGGTTGCAGGTCACCCAAACTCTAGCACATAAGCAAGTAGCTCCGTCCTCAGGCATGCAATCCAACACCTGCTGCTCTGAAAACACATTGGCACATGCAGGATGTCTCCTGTTCATGTTTGTTTTTACTGTGTATGTGCAGGCATTTTATATATTCAATAATATTTTCATATTTTCATAATCGATTAGTTGGCCGATTATTAAGTTCGGTTAATCGGATAAAAAAAAAGAGGCTCCAGTGATTGACGACTAGTTTGTGTTAAGATTGTAGTCCATCACGGGAGCAAGCTTGGCGCGGTGGAAGTAAAAAAAAAGTGTGGTGTGCAATATAGTACATTATACAGCGGCGCAGTGCAGAATACCAAGACTGTCAGTCATTGCTCCTCGCAGGGATATCACTCCTCCAGTGCTGACTGGAAGAACGGACGGGGTGCTGGCACAGCTGGCTCCGCCTCTAGATGGGCAGAGCCCGCTGTAAATCAGCCAGCTGGGTGGATCTCGACAGTATTGTCGGTATCCGTCCCGTCTGCGGCACCCTCAGTATACCGTGGGCAATAGCTTACACTAAGCTTTGGGTCATGGGAGGAGGTCCCGTGACCCTAAAGAGAACTATGGGATAAAAAGGTTACCCCATAATTTCTCTTTTAAAACTGCAAACTTGATCCGAAGTCAGTGACTAAGAAAGTTTTAAAACTAGAGGCTGTGTGACAACCAGACATCTAGCATTTTCAGTGGTAATCATTTTATGTTTGGTTTCCTTAAAACTTAACCTATACTTATAAGCCATAACATTATGACCACCTGCCTAATATTTAGTAGTTCTCCCTTTTGCGGCTAAAACATCCCTGACCCATCAAGGCAGGGACTCCACTAGATCTATGAAGCTATGCTGTGGTATCTGGCACCAAGCCGTCAGTAGCAAATCCTTTAAGTCCTGCAAGGTGGGGGTCTCCATGGATCTGACACCTCAAACTCATTGTTGTGTTCCTCAAAATATTCTTGAACCATTTTTTCAGTGTGGCAGGGCATATCCTGCTGAAAGAGTATACTGCCATCATTGAATACTGTTTCCATGGAGGCATGTACTTGGTCAGCAGCAATCTTTAGGTAGGCGGTACGTGTCAAAGTAACATCCACATGAATGTCAGGACCCAAGGTTTCCTAGCAGAACATTGCCTAAAGTATCACACTGCCTCTGCCAAATTGCCTTCTTCCCATAGTTGATCCTAGTGCGATCTCTTCCCCAGGTAAGCGAAACACGCACACACACGCACCCGCCCATCCACAATGTAAAAGAAAACATGGTTCATCAGACCAGGCCACTTTTTTTCCCCTCATTGCTCCGTGGTCCCGTTCTAATGCTCACGTGCCCATTGTTCACACTTATGGCGGTGGACACGGGTAAGCATGGGCACTCTGACACCTTTCTATCTGAGCCAGCATCATATTTTTCAACAATTTGAGCAATAGTAGCTCTTCTATTAGATTGGACTACACAAGCCGGCCTTTGCTCCTCACGTACATCAGTGAGCCTTGGCCACCCATGACCCTGTTGCTGGTTCCCCAGTTTTCCTTCCTTGCACAACGTTTGGTAGGCCCTGACCACTGCAGACCAGGAACATCCCACAAGAGCTTTAGTTTTGGAGTTTCTCTGACCGAGTCGTCTAACCATCACAATTTTGCCCTTGTCACAGTCTCTTAAATCATTGTAATGAGATAATCAATGTTAATCGCTTTACCTGTCAGTGGTCATATTGCTATGGCTGATCGGTGTTTATCTCCTTACTTTCTTTTTGAAAATACAACTTAAAGTATATGTAAACTCAAACAATGAACTCCTGATATTTGCTACCTATTGGGTTTCAAAATACACCACTGAAAGGGTTTTGTTATAGCTGCACATTAATTCTTATTGCTGCACAGTAAGTGCAAAACATACCTCTTGATTTTTTCCCATAAATTGTGTGAGCTGATAACTTACTGTGCAGTAGGAGTTGTTCTGGAGATGAGGAAAGGTCTGTGTGCGTTGTAATCCCACAGAAATGAAGTAGGTAGGGTTGACATCACGTGCTAGGTTTTGTCATGATGCAGAAGCTTTTTTTAAACGTTTCTAAATCCTTTGAAGTAATACAAGCATGAATTCACTTTTCAGACATAATTTCAGGTATGTTTGAAGTACTATCTGACACCTCAAACTCATTGTTGTGTTCCTCAAAATATTCTTGAACCATTTTTTCAGTGTGGCAGGGCATATCCTGCTGAAAGAGTATACTGCCATCATTGAATACTGTTTCCATGGAGGCATGTACTTGGTCAGCAGCAATCTTTAGGTAGGCGGTACGTGTCAAAGTAACATCCACATGAATGTCAGGACCCAAGGTTTCCTAGCAGAACATTGCCTAAAGTATCACACTGCCTCTGCCAAATTGCCTTCTTCCCATAGTTGATCCTAGTGCGATCTCTTCCCCAGGTAAGCGAAACACGCACACACACGCACCCGCCCATCCACAATGTAAAAGAAAACATGGTTCATCAGACCAGGCCACTTTTTTTCCCCTCATTGCTCCGTGGTCCCGTTCTAATGCTCACGTGCCCATTGTTCACACTTATGGCGGTGGACACGGGTAAGCATGGGCACTCTGACACCTTTCTATCTGAGCCAGCATCATATTTTTCAACAATTTGAGCAATAGTAGCTCTTCTATTAGATTGGACTACACAAGCCGGCCTTTGCTCCTCACGTACATCAGTGAGCCTTGGCCACCCATGACCCTGTTGCTGGTTCCCCAGTTTTCCTTCCTTGCACAACGTTTGGTAGGCCCTGACCACTGCAGACCAGGAACATCCCACAAGAGCTTTAGTTTTGGAGTTTCTCTGACCGAGTCGTCTAACCATCACAATTTTGCCCTTGTCACAGTCTCTTAAATCATTGTAATGAGATAATCAATGTTAATCGCTTTACCTGTCAGTGGTCATATTGCTATGGCTGATCGGTGTTTATCTCCTTACTTTCTTTTTGAAAATACAACTTAAAGTATATGTAAACTCAAACAATGAACTCCTGATATTTGCTACCTATTGGGTTTCAAAATACACCACTGAAAGGGTTTTGTTATAGCTGCACATTAATTCTTATTGCTGCACAGTAAGTGCAAAACATACCTCTTGATTTTTTCCCATAAATTGTGTGAGCTGATAACTTACTGTGCAGTAGGAGTTGTTCTGGAGATGAGGAAAGGTCTGTGTGCGTTGTAATCCCACAGAAATGAAGTAGGTAGGGTTGACATCACGTGCTAGGTTTTGTCATGATGCAGAAGCTTTTTTTAAACGTTTCTAAATCCTTTGAAGTAATACAAGCATGAATTCACTTTTCAGACATAATTTCAGGTATGTTTGAAGTACTGCACATTCTATACCATGTAAGGGAACTGCAGCAGATGCAGGCAATGGAAGAGCTGCTTTCAACCTAATCATTTCTGCAGATGACAGTTGTTGTTTTTGTTTTTTTATATTTGATTTTTTTTTTTTTTAGGAATTTGGTGAAGAAGTATTGTCCAAAGAGGTCAACTAAAGATGAAGAACCAAGGTATGTCCATTGTGTTTAACGTCTTAACTGAATGCTTCAAAAGGTTCACTTTTATCAGCAAGCAGTTGGTTTTTGTTTTTGTCTATGGCAGCAGAACAATAACTGAATCGGGCCCTGATCCAGACACTATTTCAAAATGGCAGACTGGAGTGCAGTGGTTAAACAACCAATGCAACCTCATTCTGTATTTTCAATTACGATTGTAGTTTTTGTTTCTGTTTCTAAATAACTTTTTTAAGTTTTCAAGGCTAGGCGGAGGCGCTCATTATTGCCTCTATTAAGCTAAAAAACAGCCTGATTATCACACGTTGCTTTTGTCGGTGTTATATGGGCAACCTTGGAGAATCACTACTATGGGGGGAAAATAAATAAATTGCTGATTGACTTGCTACCAAGTGAAGTGCAATGGCGTCCAAGCCAAGCATGAACTATTCAAGCTGCAGAACAGCCTTTTAATGAGACTGGTGCACAGACAATTGCTTTCACATCAGGCAGACATGTATGTTTTGGTCTATAGAGAAAGGAGTGATAAAGTGTATGTGAACTGAACAATAAACTTCCATTATGTCCATTGGTCTGTTTTAATAATCTAATAAAAGCATTTTGTTATACCTGTTCAAAAAGTGCAGAAAATCCCTGTGGTCATGCCAGAAATTCAGGGTTGTCCTGGGCATGCATTATCTCAAATTAATTAGCCCTCCTATTTTTCATCTTTGACTACAGTATAATTAGTGATAATGTAGTAAAGATGAGGGGAGTTGGGAGGGTTTGAGTAGTTGAGCAAAACAGCTGGGCAGGACTCACACCACTCAGTCCAGGAAAATGCTGTTATCAGCCAAAAACAGGACTTGTATGTATTGCAGTGATGTACTGCATATGTTTTTTCTGACATGCACTTTAACCACTTGCCGTCCGCCCGTAGTAAAAAAACGGACGGACGGCACTGCAGCATTTGCGGGTTGCCGGCTCCAGACGGCAATTTTTTTCTGCTCGCGCGCGCCCCCTAGCGGGCACGCACGGGCAGAAAAGACCAGACTATTGCACACATATAGGCGATTAGCGGCTCCATAGCCCGCCGATCGTCTATATGTGCTCGTTCGCGTCCATACACCACAGTTAGAGGGCCGGACTTTGGCTACCCCTGCTGTAGACCCATAGATCTGAGTAAGCCAGAAGTAAGCTGTAATGATGAAAGGCATTGGAGGTTGAGCATACATGGGGAGGAACTTTATTTGTGCCATAAATAAAGACTTTTACGTTTCGGTGAAGACCCTTGGAGTGTAGCTATTTCTGGATATCGAATAAGAAAAAATGCAGTAAGAGGCTGAATCAGACTGATGGCTGCAGGATAATGTTGCTTGGTACTGACTCTCTGATACATTAACTATGTGTAGTAGTATGGTGTTATTCAATTAAAGCAGATCTCCCAACACACTGTACAATCCTGGACACAGTAGTGTAGCATGAATTTAAACACAAAGCTTTAGTGTAGAACTCTGGCCAATACTTTTGTTTTTATTATTATTATTATTGCTGTGGATAGTATGGGGAAGGGTTAAATACCCTCATTGTTTTTGTTTTTTGGGGTTAGTAGCCTTTCAGAAGGGATTTCTGTCACTTGCATTTAGGGCTGCAACAACTAATCAATTATCGATAATAGTTGGCAACCATTCTCATTATCGATGAGAGAGATTTTCTTTTATTACAACCAATCGATTAATTTGCTATAATAATCGTTAGCTTCAGCCCTACTTGCATTTCCAGTGACACCTGTGTGTGAATCCTGTTTCCTCTCTGGAGGATATTCTGTGTACATCCCTTTTGAGAATCTACTTGAGGTTATTGACAGTGTAAAATAAAAAGGGAATAACATGCTCTATGCTACATAGATGCATATTAACAGCAATGCCATGTATCATGCCAAAAGGAGGGGGATTATAAAAGCAGGAATGAAATAACAGATGCATTGTGGTAATTACTGATAACCCCCAAATAGATCTGAGTAAACTTGGGAACTCACTAAAAACATTGAAAATATTGCCATCTGGTGAAATAAGGAACTTGGCCAGCTCCCTCATAGGTTCTCAATAGGAATTGAAACTTTTGGATCGAGTTAAACTTTATTTAAAAAAAAATACTCCAAGTATGTATTTTATTTAGTGTACCTTAAGCGTCTCCACTTCCCCCTCCAGAGATCAAATAATGCTGAGCTATTGGAGGGATTCATCAGTTTGCCTAAATTATGAGGCTACCCCTGCACCATTTTTACCCTTTTTGTTTTGGGGCTGTTGTACACTTTAGCCCTCATTAACACTGGAATCGGCTCGCACGTACAGCTCCGTGTAGGGCCGTATAGGCAGCTCCTGGGAAGTACAGGTGCTGCGTGTGATTCGTACACAGCACCTGTCCTTCTCTATGGGACTACGCGGCCGTACGCCCCCCCCCCC